CTCGAACCCGCATGTCTTCGATTAGCACACACCCAGCTTAACCAGTACACAAAACGCGCACCTCAACTGCCTGCGCATTGTTTTCTTATAACACCGCCACGCGCGCGCTCCTAGAAAAAATTATTTTTTCGACGAATTTCGGGAAATTTCAGGACAAAACTGCTTCGCATTTTCCTGCGCTAACTCGCTGGAATATGTCACAGATATCATCTTATGTGAAATTTTTTGTAGAATCTGAATATATGAATAACGAAGGTGATACAAATCTCTATTCATGCTAAATTTGAGAAAAACCAAAAAATTCATTAAGTATGCCATCTTCCGACCGGAAATAAACTCTTTTCTAATCATCAATTTTTGTTCAAAAGTTTTCGTCGAGAAATAATTTTTTCTAGGAGCGCGCGCGTGGCGGTGTTATAAGAAAACAATGCGCAGGCAGTTGAGGTGCGCGTTTTGTGTACTGGTTAAGCTGGGTGTGTGCTAATCGGAGACATGCGGGTTCGAGTCCCATTTTGGAATAATTTTTTTGAAATGTTTTTTTTTTAAATTCTGAGGTGTTATGAATGACATCAGAACCTTTAGGATGCATTGATAGAGATTTCTTCTCTAGAACTTCATTTTTCAGCTTTTTTCTCAGTAATTTCGCAGTTTTTCAATTTTTTTTTCCGATTTCGAATCATTTCCCGGCAAAAATTCGTAAAATTAGGTTTGTTATCACACAAAACCCCTTTTTCCACACTTTCCGACAAGTTTTTATACTATTCCAGCCCTCTGAAACCTAAATTTCAGTAGAAAATCTCTTGAGAAAACCGTTCATTTCTTCCGCGCGGCAGCCTTGCGCTGTCGTCGCCCCGCCCACTTTTCCGCGTGGGCGCAATGCTGGGGGCAAAAATGGAGGAAAATGAGGAGCACAAAATGAGCTGTAACTCGGGAATGAGTGAATATTTTTGAACGAAAATTTGGAAATATGCTAATTAGGAAAATGAGATTATTATAAAATAAAAAGTTTTTGGAAAAAAACTGTTTGAAAAAAATCTTGTGGCCCCTACTTATAAGCTATTAAAACAGAAACCAGAATTTACTATAAAAAATTACAGTGAAAAAACTGGAAATTTTGCTGATATTTGAGAATTTCAGTACTTTATGACTAGGCACCACAACAAAATTTTCAAAATAGATTTTTCCCAGTTTTTATTGTTGGATTGTCTTCTCCTACTTTACAGAAGTCCATTCCCAAAATTTCAGCGAAAAATCTTCATTCAATCCCGAGTTACACACCATTTTGTATCAGACCTCAATGTACTGACTTTCTCCTCATTTTTTTGCGGTGCGCAGAAAAGTGGGCGGTGTTTAGAAGCTTGCAATACTGCGGCGCGGAAAATTCGTGAAGGAAATTAAAGAAAAAGCTATTAGACGCGAGAGAGACCCGAACCTCCGCCTGCGTCAGATCGGCGCGCGCACCCACTATCCAGTCGGCCACGGCTGCACTCGCGGTGGTAGCTTTAGAGGGAAAATATGAATGTGCGACTCTTCGCTGCCTGCTGCCTTCTTCCGGTGTTGCTTTCTTCCTATGTTTTAAAGAAATTGATCTGTGAATGATAAGGAAACAGACGTATAACACATTAAGGGCGTCGATAGAATTTTTTAATTATAATTGCTCTTAGTGGCAATTTTGCGTAGAATCTTATGGTGAAAAGAAAATCGGTGGCGCTCACCTGTGTCACCTTCAAAACTTCCAAAAACTGAAAATTTTGAAAGTTTGGAATTTTCGGATGAGTATCAAAACTACTTAGATGTATCCAATCTTTCTGAAAATTGGCAGAAGTATACACAAGACTTAGTTTTACCATAATATGCAAAAAAAAATTGGGGTCATCGCTGAAATTTTTTATTTATTTTAGCTGGAACTTTGGCTGAAAATTGTGGAACAAGGGCGTCGTTAGAATTTTGATTTTATTTCAAAATCCAATCCCCCAGTTCATAAACTATCAGAATCCATTAAAAAATCTAATGGCGCGAACTTCCATCCAACACTTTTAGTCCACTTTGTCAGTCCCACTTCTATTTTTCGAAGTTTTCGAATCAAAATAATAAAGTTATCGAAGAACTGATAATTTCATTGGATTCAGCGTAGTCGATTACATAGGGACAAGTTCTCACCAAAAAAAATAATGGGTTTCTAACGCCCGGTACAAGCCTTCAAAGATGGATTTCTGAAAAGGGGAGAAAAATTTGGTCGCCCCGCCCCCTTTCATTGCGGTGCCTATTTATGACTGATTTTTTTATAATATTCTGTTTCTTTTTTTATTTTAGGCTTAGGCTGAAACGCGTGTTTTTCGGCAAGGCATTTCAGCCTAATGATATTTCAGAGAAAAAGCTGAAAATTTTGCAGATATTCGCAAATCTCATTTTTTCTTCAATCAATTTTTTCCCAGATCATTAACTTTGAAGCTCTATGCTTAGCCTGAAACGCCTGGTATTCGTAATTCAAAATCCCAGAATTTTTGGAACTGATTTCAGAACTAGAAAATTTCTAAATTTCAGAATTTCAGATTTTTTAGAATTTTAGAATCATTTTTCCGGGATTTCAGAATTCCTGAATTTTGAACTTTGAGATCCTGGAATCACAGAATTTCATAAATTCGGAATTTTGGAATTTAGAATTGCAGAACGAACATTTAGAATTTTCCATAGCACTGAATTTCAGAATTTTTATCTTCCGAACTGTCAAATCTCTGAATTTTTGAATAAAAATTATTTTGAAAATAATTCATTGAAAAATAGAAGCCCATGGGCTTCTATTAAAGGAAATAGATATGTCTCTTACCGATTTAAGTATATTTTTCTGACAACGTTGGAAAAAAATTATCCTAATTCAAAAACCCATTTTTGGAGTTACAAAATTTCGATTTTTTAAATGAGAAGATCAAAAATTGGCAATTTTAGAATCACTTATTTACAACTAACGATACCCTTATGAAAATTTTGAAAAAGAAAAATAATTATAAGCATTTTCACGTGACGATAATGAGAAGTTATTTATATATCAAAAACAACTAGAAATTTCGTCGATCGAATAGCATACTGGTTTACACGCTGGTGTATGAAGCGATCGACCCGAGTTCGATCCTCGCTCGAGGCATCGGGTTTTTGGAAGGGAGTAAAAAATCCGAAAAATCGAAAGAAAAACCCTCATGCCCCATTGGGAAAAAACCCTCATGCCCCATATTGTGGATTTACGGGCGCGTGTTCCACATCTTAATGAACCATTCTAGAAGATTCTAAAAAATAGTTTTTTGCAAAGACGTCGTCGAATCAAAATAATGGTATTCCAAGTCATCTCAAAAATCTTCAATATTAACTTTATTCTTCATTTATGAATAACGATCTAATAAAAATTTTGAATTCTTGTTTATCGAACTAGAGTAATCTACCGTATTTCCTCTAATAGAAGCCCACCTCTAATAGAAGCCCACCTTCCGATTTGCTTAAAATCATAAAAGCGGAGCCTCAAACAGAAGTTCATGCAGTTCAGTTAGTGCAGTTCGTATAGTGCAGTTCGTCTATTAGGTTATTGCAACCATTGTCTTTCTTTTTAAAAAGTATTCCGATGATTTCAGTTTTTGGAAATTTCTTGAGAAAGGGGTTGAAAAATAGAAGCCCATGGGCTTCAATTAGAGGAAATACGGTAACTTGTTATTTTCAACTCATTAGGAAATTGGTTGAAAAAAAAGGTCTAGAAAAGGGACTTCAAGAAAATACTGAAACTTCAAAAAAAAGGTTGCTTTCGAAACTATAAGTTTGCAAACTGTGAAATTTGTGAAAATTCGTAAAATCCGGATAAAAAAGATATTTAAGAAATCGCTTTAATTTTCAGAAATGACGTTTAGGTTTTTAAGAATCCATCTAAAATTCAAAATCAATTTTCAGATAATCTCGATTTGATGTCTTTCAACTTCAGTCGAATTCAATAGAACATTCTGGAGGTAACAATGAACAATTCTAGAAGATCTTAAAAATTGGTTTTTTTCAGAGACGTCATCGAAATTCAATCAAGAATATGGTATTCCAAGTCATCTCAAAAATCTTCATATTAACTTCATTTTTTGCTTACGAATAACAATGTAATGAAATTTTTGAAATTCTTTCTATTTGGACTACAGTAATCGAAAAAACGAAAATTCAATGAAAATCTTTATTCCCAATTAATAGGCATAATTTGAATTTTCTGGCTTTTCCGCACTTTTTCTCGCTTTCTTCTGATTTTTCTTTTTCCTTCTTCCTTCCTCCTCCTCAAAATCATTATGTGATTCCAAATCAGTTTTCGGATTTTCCTCAGTCTCCTCCGTCTTTTTCACTATAATTATCTGATCACTTTCCTCAGTCTTCGTCTTTTCTTTATCGATAATTTCCTTCTTCTCCTTCTTTTTCTTTTCAGATTCCATTTCAGGTTGCTTTGACTGGAAATATCTTGGCTCCGGTGAGAGATATAAAAAAATGGTCACTGATAAAATGTTACTGATATTATGATAAAAATTTTATCAGTTGACATCTTTTCTATATCTCTCACAGAAACCAATATACAGTAATCCAAAAAAAATCTCACCACTATTTCCTTTCTCGGTGATTTTGCCTTTTCCATGCTTTTCTTTGGGCTTATTGTCTTTTCTTTCGATTTCTTATCCGGAGATTTTCGAGTAGTCACATTTTGCTTTTCTTCTGGAATTTTTGAAATCTTCTTGGACTTTTGAGGCTCAGGAAGAGTAACAGAGGGTACTGGAGGTAGTGGTGCAGGTTGGAGAAGAGCAGAGGACGCCAGTTGGACACTTGTCTGGAAAATTTTCGAAATTGAATCTAGAAAAAAACTTTGAAAAAAAATCAGACTATTCTAGATGAAGAAGCTCCAAATGTTTTGTGTGAGAGACGTCTCTTCTAAACTTCAAACAACAGATATACCGTATTTCCTCCAATAGAAGCCCATGGGCTTCTATTTTTCAACCTTTCTCTCAAAGTGGGCTTCAATTAGAGGGTGGGCTTCTATTTTTCAATGATTAATTTTCAAAAAAATTTTTGTTCAAAAAATCAGAAATTTGACAGTTCGGAATTTAAGAATTTTGAAATTCCGTGTTTTTTTTTTAAATTCGAAGTTTCCATTCTGCAATTCTAAACTCTAAAATTCCGAATTTATGAAATTCTGAGATTCGAGAATCTCAAAATTCAAAATTCAGGAATTCTATAGATCAGAAATTGAGAATTTTCGAGTTCTAAAATCACATTTCCAAAAATTCTGGAATTTTTTATTACCGTATTTTCTCCAATAGAAGCTCATGGGCTTCTATTAGAGAGTGGGCTTCTATTTTTCGAAGCACCTCGCGGGGTGGGCTTCTATTAGATGCGTGCTTCAAATAGAGGTGGGCTTCTATTAGAGGAAATACGGTATCTTGAGTTCTAGATGAGCTAGAAACTTGATTTTTTTTTGAATTTCTCCAAATTTTATTTTCTATCTAACGAAACTAAAAATTACTCTGGAAGTTGTATCCGAACACGACGTGGGTACAGCTGCTGCCACCGGTGCCTCTTCCTTCTCTTGTTTCCCAAAGCATCCCGTCAGAATCCATGGAAAAATGAGAAGAAAAATTGAGTTGATGGTCCATGAGAATGCTTCAAAAATGTGTTTCGCTGGGACCATTTCGAATCGAAGATTACAAAGTGAAAGAAATTGTTTTTTTCAGAAAATGATCATAAAATTGTTTTTTTTTCAAAATTCAAAAGTATTACAAAATCATAAAAAGGGAATGGCACGGCAAAAAACAATTGATTTTTCATGAAAAATGAGATATGCTAGTTGAGGTCACTGGGGGAGAAAACATCACTTTTTAAGGACCCGAATCACTGATAAATCTGATAATCATCTTCTTCCAAATGCTCCTGATCCGCTGAAATCATTAATCTAGCCAAATCGGTTTTATGGACGATGAAAGTGAGCAATAAAGAGGTTAACATGAAGAATCCGCAGAGAATGAACAAATTTTCGAATCCAATGTCGTTAAGTAAATGGGTGGAGATCAATCCGGCGATTAGGCCAGCAACGCTCTGCAAGACTATATTTTTTAGGCCAACTGAAGGTTTCTAGACCACCAGCACCCAGCTTTCCAATATTGGTCTTCTAGGTCATTTGAAGGTTTCTAGACCACCACAAAACTCACCACTGCACACTGCAAGAATCCATACATCACACTGAAATTGGCTTTACTGAAACATTTATGGGTGATGTAAGGGAAAATTGAGAAGGTTCCACCAATGCACGAAAAGATTAAGCAAACCTGGAATTTTTTATATTTTCGAATTTTGCGGGAAATATTATATCAGACCTATTGCAAGAAAAATCAAGTTTCTAGCTCATCCCTGAGCCGAGGTACAGAGGGTGGTAAGCAAGAGAAGCAGACAGACAGAGTGTCTGTTTGTCTGCGTCTCTCACAACACCGCAATTTCAAAAGGATGTACTACTTATCTCGGCTCCTAAACGGTCGAAGAATGTGGAACTTTTTTTTTGTTAAATTGCAAATTTCGAAATCTTCCTTTTTCCAGATTTTTAGCTTTAGCAACCGAGATACGGAAATTTATAGAGAGACGCAGACAACGAGACTCTCTAACTGTCTGCTTCTCTTTTAAACTTCAAAGACCCATATCTCAGCTCCTAGAAGGCCTAGAAACTTGGGTCTTGGACTAAACATAATACTTTTCAATGAATTTCATTTTTGCGAACATACCGTCGCCAAAAACAACACATCGTTATCAACCATCTTTACTAACGGCAAGCAAAACGCTAGAACAGCTCCCAAACTGCACACAATTGACATTGAGAATTGATAAGAGGTCTGGAATAATTTCCAAGTTATTTAATTACTTTAATTACAGCTTAATTACCGTATCTGCAATTGCTCCCCAAAACACTCTGCTTCCCGCGTTGAAAACAGAGGAAATGGATCCGATGAGACTCAAAAAGAAGTCAGAATCAATGAATTGCTGACCATAAGCTTTGTACAATCCGCTAGTCAACTGAACCCACGTGGCGTTACATGTAAGAGACAGGAATAGGACAAGGAAGGTGGTAGTTCTGAAAAAAAGACCTGAGATTGGTGACTTAGAAAACTCCAAACCTTAATTGCGGCCAAACTCTCGCTTGCTCGACTCGAATTTCACTATTCGTTCCAATCAAGTTCTCCGTCTCCACTTCAATGTTATCATCTGGCTGTCCGATAAAGATAAGGCCGATTGATTGGAAAATTGTGAAAAAAATGGCCATGACTATGAAAACATAGGGCACACGTTCTAGAAGATCCTCTTGAGTGAAGAATCCTTGATCGTTGACTCGATAGTCCAATGGATTGATGAATGTGGTTTGAAGGGGCGATAGGATAAATGCTCCACAACCATATCCACCGATGATCACACCTCCAGCAAGGCCGACATTGTCAGGGAGCCACTGGAAACATTTTTGGGAAAATTTCAAAGAAAATAAGAATCACTGGGAGATTCAAAGATGAGATGAGATGTATCCTATTAAAGTTTGAGAGACTCAGACAACGAGACACTCTCGCTGGCTGCGTCTCTCCCATTCAGAATTTGATTTAAAACTTTCAATGTGAGAGACACAGAGAAACAGAGCGTCTAGTTGTCAGCGTCTCTCACATTCAAACTTCAGTGAGCTCTACCTCAGCTGCAAAATGAGCTAGAAAACTCGTGCTTGGAGCAAAATGTTTAGAATTAAACAAGAAAATTGAAAATTTTAATTTCAAGTGAGAAATTTGAAAACTCACCCTCTGAGCTGTCGGCAGAATTGAACTATAGGCGATACTACTTCCAACGCTAGCGATTCCTCCCATGGTAATCAATGTGGCTGCGTATGAATGTTGGATTGAGTAGAAAGTGGACCCGACTCCAAATCTGAAAGTAAACATGAAGTTTGAGTCAAAAGAAATCTGATTTCTAGCTTGGAAAGTGAGAGACGCAGACAACTAGACACTCTCGCTGTCTGCGTCTTTTTATAAACTTTTGGCGGATCTACCTAGACTTCCAGAAGGTCCGGAAAGTTTTCTTTTCTTTTGATTCATTACGAATTTCCAAATTTTCATTCATTTTCTGATATAAATTTTATAGTTTATCTAGAAACCAAGAAATAGGTTTTTTGAGAGACGCAGACAACAAGACACTCTTACTGTCTACGTCTCTTCTAAACTTCAAACAACAGATATACCGTATTTCCTCCAATAGAAGCCCATGGGCTTCTATTTTTCAACCTTTCTCTCAAAGTGGGCTTCTCTTCTCAAACTTCAAATTGCCGTAACTCAGCTTCTAGAAGGCCTAGAAACTCGGTTTTTGAAATCATAATTGTGTTTTTCTTGTATTCATATTTGATGATTTCAAAAATTTTCAAAAATGCTTACGTATAAACAATTGCTCCGAAAAATGCTCCAACTCTTCCGCCGAACTTCCGCTCCACAAGTCCACCGATAACCATACCCATTGGAAGGCCGCCTGGAATTTTTTTGAATAGAATTTTCTGGAAAGTTTGAGATTTTAAAAACTCACTGAGCAATGTCTGGAGCCATATCAAACTGCCCATTCTCATGTCTGGATACATTTTCCATCGGAAATAGGAGACCAAGTAGGGAAGGAGGTTGCCTTAGGTTAAAAAAGTTGAAATTTTCAAAACTTAAAAAAAAACTCACCACAGGTATAAACGATTCCAAAAGTGACCATACACATGACTCCGCCCACCAGGACCGCCCATGGTCTAGCACCACGTGGCAACCGTTTCAGGACAAAATCATTCGTTTCCATTGGCAATCTGCCAAGAAATGATGAGCAACATGCCATTTTCAGGAATTTTAGAATTTATATAAAAAATTAGAAAAGATAATTTAGAACTTTTGAATAATATATACAAACATTTGTACCCGAGGAGTATTGGAAAAACGAGAACAAATCGTATAGAGAATAGAGACGAGAGAGTGAGAGACTGAGACAGTTGAAGGGTGTGTGAGAGAGTGTAGGTAGTTGTGGAGACGCAGAGAGAAAATGGTCTGACTATGAGGGCAGTTAGTAAGGAGGTGAGGACACCTGGTGAACGGAGGACAGATGGTTTGATCTTTGCAATATTGCCTTGTAGAGAATTTGGAGGATCTGAGGTTCCAGAATGTCTGTAAATTTCAGAAAAGCAAAACGTCAGTAAATTCAGAAATTCAGTAAATTCAGAAATTCAGTAAATTCAGAAATTCAGAAATTCAGAAATTCAGAAAAGCAAAACGTCAGTAAATTCAGAAATTCAGAAATTCAGAAATTCAGAAATTCAGAAATTCAGAAATTCAGAAATTCAGAAATTCAGAAATTCAGAAATTCAGAAATTCAGAAATTCAGGAATTCAGAAATTCAGAAATTCAGAAATTCAGAAATTCTGAAATTCAGAAATTCTGAAATTCAGATATTCCAAAAATAAGATTTTCAGAAAATCGGAAATTTTAGAATTTCAGAGTTTCCAGAGATTTTAGAAAGTTCAAATTTTGTAATTTTTTTGAATTTCTCCATTGGCCTCAGAAATCCAAAAACCCCGAAAAAGCCAATTTCAAAAGAAGTTACATCAGCAAAAATCGAATCAATTTTTCGGGAACAATGGGGAGGAAAAACCATGTAACTTAAAAATTTTTATCATCCTTTTTTCCACTTTTTGCTGTAATTTGTAATCAGTGAGTTATCAACAAGTCGAGAAAATTTTTATCAGTTTCAAAATTATTACGTCTTTTTCGAAACATTTTGCTGTGCACACAATTTTCTCATTGTCTGAGTTTCCAACCGCTAATTGGAAAAACCGAATATTTTGAAAATTAATTTTTAAAACAATTTTGCAAAAACCTTTTATTTGAAACGCCGATTTTGAAAAAAAATTTAATGCAATTATCATGGAGGGTTGTTAATATCTTGAGTGTCGTCGTCTTCTCTAGAATGACTTTGTTGATTTCGAGCTGGAGGATTTTGAGCTCGCGGAGCAGCAGCAGATGGTGCAGGTGGAGCTGTAGGAGCTGAAAATTTTCAGAGTTCAGAATCTCAGAATCTCAGAATCTCAGAATCTCAGAATCTCAAAATCTCAGAATCTCAGAATCCTTGATTTCAAAACTGACCAGGATTCTGAAGTCTCTCTGGTGACGCTGTAGCTGTAGACATTTCACTAGTTGTGGATACTGTAGAAAGTCTTCTGGATTCCGAAGATCCCATATTTGAAACTGTAGATGTTTGTGGGGTCGCCACGAATCCTCTATTCAACACACTCGTTCCATTGGGGGCCGTCGCTGGAGTGACCGTTCCTCCGATTCTCGAAGCCGTCGAAGTGTTATTATTCCCAATCGGACTCAAATTTGGCAAAGTCGCATTAAACACAGCTCCTGTCTGTGTTCCAACTGGTGGTGATGGCGGATGTGTTCTCATTGAATCCGACTGTGGACGACGTCCCAGGACATCCTCAATTGGCAATGGTGCCGGTGGAGCCGATTGGGGGCGACGACGACGTGGAGCTGAGATTCTTCTAGGTTGTTGGGAGCCGTGACGCATTCTTCGGGAACGACGGCGAGTTGTTGGTGGTGGGGTTGCTTGAGGTGCAGGGGCTAGACGACGAACAGGAAGGGGTGGTGCCTGTGGGATGTCATCTTGGAAGACTTGGAAGTCGTTTGGGGATCCTGGCATCATGCGACGCTGGAAATATTCTATATAATTCTTAAATTCTAGGTGATTGAGCTCAAACTTGGAGCCTCAAAGTAGCTTTTTTCATGGCTCACCTCTCTCAACGCTCCGAATCTCTCTTGAATCATGGGAGCCGGAATTCTGAGCCCTTCAAAAACTGCATCTTCATTTTCCGCTACGTTCATTCGTTTTCTAAGTGCCAAAACTTCCTTTCTGCACACATTATTATCCTTCCATTCAATCAAACTGAATTGCCACTGGAGACTTCCAAGGATTGTGTCCTAGAATTTAAATTTAACTTTTTTGGTACTATAACTGTTCTATATCATTCAAAAGCCCTTGAAATTTCCTTCAAAACTATGTAACTTTTACTCACTTTGGTCAACTTTAAAGCCAGTTATGCGCCTTCAAAGCTGGCTAGAGAGACGCAGACAACGAGAGCACTCTCGTTTCTCTACGACTCTCTCCAACTTCAAATCGCTGTATCTAGGCTCAAAATCAAGCGATTTTTGTGATTTTCAGCGTGGAAAAATGCTGAAAATCTAGAGAATTGTTAGAAAAAAAAATCTTACGTGATTTCGCAGAAAGTTTGGATTATATTCTTGCGGGATGTACGGTGGGCCACGGACCAGATGGGATAAAAGCCTAACATTGGTTAGATTGGCTTGAGGACACGATGCCAATGAGGTGTTGGGTCCAAAAATAATCTGAAATTCTGGCATTCAAAAGATTTGATTTTCAGATTTATTACCATAAAATTCTTGAGACTTTTCAAGTGCTTATATCTTTTCAACGGTAAATAGTTTCCAAAAACCACCAGATATTTCAAATTTTTTGGCAAAAATCGGCAACTCTGACTGTAAAACGTGTCATCGTCGAATTGGTCCATATAGATTCCAATTTTAGTAACTTTCAAATTTTTCAGAGTCAAGTCGGCTGGCGTTTTCGATTTTACAGAAAACGAGAAAAGCGATGGTGGAATGCTGAGCTCATCGAGCGATGGATAGGTTTCTGGAATATTTATTTTTCCGAGATCAAGTGAAAAAAATTTGATCTACCCAAAACCGGAACATATTTAGCGCCAACTCTCGTATCCACCAAACATCCTATCATATCCAAACATTTCAGATTTTTGAGATTCGCCATGAAATTCACTAAATTTTCAGTCAAGTAGATTCCAGTCAAACAGATCCTAGTGAGTGTTTGTGGGAAGGCAGCCTGGAAATTCAAAAAAAAAATTACAAGTCCACTCTAATGAACTCTACCGTAAGAACTCTTGGCTCCACCACTTCCACCACTTTCATTTCTTTGGTGCTGTCAGAAACCAAGTGTAGCGTTCGAAGTTTTTCAAATTTTGGAAAGTTGATGAGGCTGGAAGTTTTGAAATTTAGTGTTAACAATGGAGCGCACTCACCTCAAGTTCTCCGTACTTATATAAAGTTTGGTTAACTTCAAATTCAGCTTGTTAAGCATCACTGCGTCAAAATCCGTAAGTTTGACTTGAATTATCAGCTTTTTGAGGGCCGGACACAACATTACAGCAGTTTCACGGGCGTCGGTTTTGAAATGAGTCTGAAAATTTTGATTATTTAATTCGTCGGAAAAATTGAAATGTTTCAGTCCAAAAACCGAGTTTCTTGGCCTCCTAGAAGCGGAGATATGGGCCTTTGAAATTAATGAAAGACGCAGACAGTCAGAGAGACTTGTTGTCTGCGTCTCTAGCCTTCAAAACTTCAAATGGATGTATCTCGGCTTTCAGGCGTGCTAGAAAGTTGGTATTTGGACAGAATTGTGTTATTTTAAAAGAGGATTTTTTTAAATCAAAAATTTGCTCATATAACCGTAACAGCTATCACAAAGTTGTAAACTACGAAAGTATTATTTGTCAAATTTTCTAGATTTTCGCAACTTTCAACATTTTGTAACTTTTCTAGTTTTCCAGATATACCCGATTCCCGTCGACTCCCTCCTTTTGAAACGTCGAATTCTCATAGGTGTGAACCAGATTAGCACCTGCCATTGTGACACATCCTCATCAAAAACTAACGTTTTGATGTCGTGCCACCTGGAAATGTTTTTTTTAAGAATCAGAAGACGTCAGGTCTTCTGAATACTTAGTCGCCACGTGGAAAAATTTTGGATCTAATGCTGCCAAATTTAGACGAGCCGTTGGTGAGAGCTGTTCTGTTATGGCTTTGATTCCGTCTTGGGTTATGGTGCTCTGCAAATATTGGATTCTTGAATTTTAGAAATTCTTAATTTCTGATATTCTGAATTTCCAAGTAATCCAGAAAACGATGATGTCGCTACAGTAATCCTCGATCTTCAAAACTACATTAACCCTCAATTTTCAAAACTACAGTAATCCTCGATTTTCAAAACTACAGTAATCCGCGATTTTCAAAATTACAGTAATCTTCGACTTTCAAAACTACAGTAATCCTCGATTTTCAAAACTACAGTAATCCTCGATTTTCAAAACTATAGTAATCCTCGATTTTCGAAACTACAGTAATCCTCGATTTTCGAAACTACAGTAATCCTCGATTTTCGAAACTACAGTAATCCTCGATTTTCGAAACTAAAGTAATCCTCGATTTTCGAAACTAAAGTAATCCTCGATTTTCGAAACTACAGTAAGCCACGATTTTCGAAACTACAGTAATCCTCAATTTTCAAAATTACAGTAATCCTCGACTTTCAAAACTACAGTAATCCTTGATTTTCAAAACTACAGTAATCCTCGATTTTCGAAACTACAGTAAGCCTCGATTTTCAAAACTACAGTAATCCTCAATTTTCAAAATTACAGTAATCCTCGACTTTCAAAACTACAGTAATCCTCGATTTTCGAAACTACAGTAATCCTCGATTTTCGAAACTACAGTAATCCTCGATTTTCGAAACTAAAGTAATCCTCGATTTTCGAAACTACAGTAAGCCTCGATTTTCGAAACTACAGTAATCCTCAATTTTCAAAATTACAGTAATCCTCGACTTTCAAAACTACAGTAATCCTCGATTTTCAAAACTACAGTAATTCTCGATTTTCGAAACTACAGTAAGCCTCGATTTTCAAAACTACAGTAATTAATTCCAAATCCTAGTAAAGTAGTCCTCGTCAGTCGATAAGACCCAACTACAGAAATCTTTTAAGTGAAATTTTCAGAAAATGTCTCACCATGATCTCTATTCAAGAAGAACACACTGGTTTGGTAGAAAATTCAAGAAATGACAGTTTTTGAGACAATATTTGAAAAAAAAATTTATTTACAAAAAAAACCAAAAATTTACAAAATTTACAACAGAAAAACCACGTTTTCAGAAAGTTTGGAAAAATCAAAGAACCCAAAAATCGCAAAGATCATCTCCACGCGGCACTCAATTGGTTGAAATAGATTTCCGATTCTTTGGCCGCCTCGTTCTTTCCTACAGTATCCGAAACTTTTGAATTCGATTTTCGCGTTCGAAGTTTTTGAAAAATTGGAACGGATTTGAAGAATCGTTCACGCCACGTGGGTACGGAATGCATACCAACGGGAACGATGAATAGAGGATTTCTGGAAATATTTGAATTTTGAAAATGAACTTTTGCTTTGAATTTTTCAATTTTTGTGTTTCAGAACATATAAATATTTAAATTTTGAAATTCCGAGTTTCAGAGTTTTGAATGTTCAAGTTATCGAATTCAGAAGTTTCCATATTCCATAACTTCCCAAAAAAATCCAAAAATGAACATTTCAATATATAATATCTAAATCTGAGAATCTTAGAATCTCAAATTTTCTAACTTCAGAATCTCAGAATCTCAGATTTTCAGAATTTCAGAATTTCAGAATCTCAGAACCTCAGAATATTAATGTTAGAATCTTAGAATCTCAGAATCTCAGAATCACAAGACTTCAGTATCTCAGAATCTCAGAATCTCAGAATCTCAGAATCTCAGAATCTCAGAATCTCAGAATCTCAGAACGTCAGAATCTCAAAATCTCAGAATCTCAGAATCTCAGGTTTTCAGAATTTCAGATTTTCAGAATTTCAGAATATCAGAATCTCGGAATCCTGAAATTACGAAGTCTCAAATTCCAGATTTCCAGAAACTCTCAAGCACCCACAAATTGAAAGCAGCTTCTGCAAAAATGACAAATGTGGAAATTTGATCATCCACTAAATGCAAAGCTGTCACAATTAACAAAGCCATTCCACATAAAATGGCAAACGAAGCAAAAAGGACAACTTTTTTCGCTAATTCCAGAGATCGCGCATTCTCTTTGGCTTGAAATCTGATTGCCAATGAATAATAGTTTTGTTGTTTGTCATGATCAGCCAATCGTTTCTGTATTCCAATATTTATATGGAGAATTATAAAATAGATCTGAAAGTATATTTCTTGGATTTTTGGCACTGTGGAGTTTTGAAATTTCTGAAGTTTAAAAATTTCTAAAATTTGGAATTTTTCGAAGTCAGAAAGTTGAAAATTTCAAAGCTTCATGTTTTAAAAAATCCATTTTCTCCAGATTCTTGAAGCTTCCGAATTTAACCGACGTTTTTGAACTGTCAACTTTTATACATAGTTTCCAACCACTGATTCCAAAAAAATAACCAAACTAGACTCACCAAAACTGCTCCAATAATAAAAAAGCCCGAAATAGCGACACCTGTCGTAAAGTTCATAATCTCGCAAGTGGCGAGACAGGATAATGAAAAACATGTCAGGTGGGTTAAAAATAAAAGTGTTATGCAAATGTAGGCACGCGGCTTCTTTTCGTAGTCTCTGGAAAGGCATTAATGTATTGGAAAATTCTGGAAAAACTCTGAAACTTTGAAGTTACGAAATTCCAGTAATTCGGAATTAAAACTTTCAGGGATTCAGAAGAGCATTAAAGATTTTTTAAAAGAAATCCCGAAATTCGAAATTCCAAAACTAAAACTTTAGGAACTTAGAACAGCTTCAACATAATCTCAGAATCTCAGAATCTCAGAATCTCAGAATCTCAGAATCTCAGAATCTCAGAATCTCAGAATCTCAGAATCTCAGAATCTCAGAATCTCAGAATTTCAGAATCTCAGAATCTCAGAATCTCAGAATCTCAGAATCTCAGAATCTCAGAATCTCAGAATTTCAGAATCTCAGAATCTCAGAATCTCAGAATTTCAGAATCTCAGAATCTCAGAATCTCAGAATCTCAGAATCTCAGAATCTCAGAATCTCAGAATCTCAGAATTTCAGAATCTCAGAATCTCAGAATCTCAGAATCTCAGAATCTCAGAATCTCAGAATCTCAGAATCTCAGAATTTCAGAATCTCAGAATCTCAGAATCTCAGAATCTCAGAATCTCAGAATCTCAGAATTTCAGAATTTCAGAATCTCAGAATCTCAGAATCTCAGAATTTCAGAATCTCAGAATCTCAGAATCTCAGAATCTCAGAATCTCAGAATCTCAGAATCTCAGAATTTCAGAATCTCAGAATCTCAGAATCTCAGAATCTCAGAATCTCGGAACCTCAGAATTTCAGAATCTCAGAATTATTTTTCTTCCAGAGTTTCAGAACGAATTTTTCCAAACTCACTTGATAAAAAATGTTGCACATGCTCTTTCGCAAGTCAGAATAAAAACACTAAAAGTCAATGTGAACGCATAATGTAGAAATAAAATTCCACTGATAAATAACGGAGTCAATTCTTCTGATTTCTCCACTTGCGGCATTTCTTTTGGATCATTCGCTATCCATAATTGAAAGACTTTGGCTGAAAATTCGAACAATTTTGCAGTTTTAATTTTTCAAGACTTTCAGGGGTCAGAAGAGTTTTATGAGTAAGGCTTCCATTTCGGTCTGTCGAAAATTGCCAACCGCCGATCGACCAGCGACCCAGCCGACCGATTCCGTACCGTTGCGCATCAAAACGCCTATATTTGCGTACGAAGCACTTAATTTTACGACAAACGAGGTATTTAGTGAGCTGTTTGTCGTAAAATACAATGCTGCATATGCAAACACGTTGACGCGCAAATGCACGAAAACGGTCGGCTCGGTCGGTGGTCGGTCGGTCGGCTAAATTTCCCGATCAAACGGAAGCCTTTTTTATGAGTTTCGGAAAAAAATTTTTGTAGATTTCTGAAAATAAATTATTCTTAAAATCCCAAAATATTTTTTCTTAAAAGAAATCCAAAAACCGTACCTTCTCCAACTGTGAGAAATCCCATTTGATATGGAAATAAAATAATTTTAGCAATTAAAATTTCAAACCATTGTCCCAAAATCACCAAAATAATTGTTGTCATATTACTATGAAAAACTCGAACCGATTTGACAATTATACAAACTTGAATAGTTAATAAAACGCATAAAATTGTTAGCATTATATGAATAAAAATAAAAATCAATGCGAAATAATCGAAAAAGTAGGCGGAGTTCAATGTGAAAATTGGGAAGAAAAACTTCGATGAGTTACCGACGAATATATTCATAACATTAGTAGGAATAGGTTGAATTTGGAGGAGTTCTGTAAATAATTTTTTCAAAACTGCAATAAATCGGAGATTCGGAAATTAAGGAATAAAAGATTCAGATAAATTTAAAAAGTCAAGGATTATTTTTTTCAAAGGTTTTTTCCAAAATAAAAACAGACGAAAAAAGGCTGAAATTTAAAAAAAAACACGAAAACGTCACTCTGGAACCTCTGAAAATGTGCTGAAAAAGCTGAAAATTGAGAGGAAATAACAGAAAATGTTATTGACTAAAATTCAGAGTAAGTTTTTAGAAAGTTATAATTTTTTAGAACATTTAAAAACTTGTATCTTCAAAACTTTTTAAGCTCATAAAAAGAACCAGACACAAAAATTACCGTAAACACTCTAATAGAACGCCCCCGAATCATCTAATTTGAGCCCATGTATCTCATTTTCTGTGAGAGATATCAAAAAGTGGCAAACTAATGAAATGTTGCTGATATCATGATAAACATTTTATTAGTTGACAACTTTTTGATATCTTTGAAAAGAAGTGAGATATTCAGGCTCAAAGTGGACGGCCCGGATGGCGTTCTATTAGAGTGTACGTCGAAAAAAAATTTTTTCAAGGAAAACAACATAAAATGTTATTGACTAAAATTCGAAATAAGTTTTTAGAAAGTTATAATCCTTTAGAAATTCAAAAAACTTGGAACTTCAAAAAATTTTTTAATCCAAAAAAAAACAGAAACCAAAATTATCAGAATTTCAGAGCGGGATTTCCCGATTTTTCACCTTTTTTTAAAATCCAATTTCTAGTTGTATGAAAGCATACTAAATGAGAATGGACGTTGAATTTTGAGATCTGGAAAATTCGAAATTCAGTAAAAGTTTTCCACCTGTTTTGCTTCTAAAATTTTGTAGTAAGAAATTTGGGATATTGAAAACTTTGAAAGTGTAGAGAAAGTAATTTTTCAGAAATCCCGAAAAGAAACTCTATTTAAAAGTAATTTTTAATTTTGTAAAATTCAAAGCCCTGGAAATTCAAACTTCTAGAAAAATTATTCATTCGGAGTTTTCAGATTTTTGAAATTTTTCAATTTGCTAAAAAATTCTAAAAACTCAAAGTTCCTGAAATTTCAGATTTTCAAATATAAACCATGATCTCCAAAATTTCAGTGTTTTGGAATTCGAAATATAATTTTGGAAATTTTGGGAAATTCGAATTTCCAAAACTCTCGAAAATGCCTAATATGCCAAATTTAAAAATCTCAGAATTCCAGAACTTTCTATTTCAACTAACTACAAAAAAACGAAAGCCACAGAGTCACATGATTTTTTTTGATAGATTTGATTTGAATGAAACTGGGTACGTAGTTTAATTTAGTTGTCCCCCGATTGGCCTCCAAAAAATTCTATATATCCTTAATTCAGTTTATTTTGGAGAGGTACACAGAATATTTTGATATTCTGGAGGAGGAAAAACATGTAGTCGGCTAAAAAAAGGTAGGCGTCATCGAATTTAGATGGGGAAAAGATTAATTTGAAAATTGATTGAATGAAAATTGCATGTTTGGAGAAAGCGGAAGTAGATTTTTGGAAACAGATATTCATAGTATTTCAAAATCTCAGAATCCCAGAACATCAGAATCTCAGAATCTCAGAGTCTCAGAATCTCAGAATATTAGAATCTCAGAATCTCAGAATCTCAGATTCTAGGAATCTCAGAATCTCAGAATCGCAGTATCTCAGAATCTTAGAATCTCAGAATCGCAGTATCTCAAAATCTCAGAATCTTAGAATCTCAGAATCGCAGTATCTCAAAATCTCAGAATCTTAGAATCTATGTTTGAATTTTTAATTTTTGGCTTGGTTTTTTTTCTATTGAACGTTCAATTAAAATAATTTTTAGGTTTCTCAAGAACAAATGAATTTAAAATTATTTTAGAATTATTCTGAAAAATGTGTATTCAAAAACTCCAAAAACAATACATCGTTCGACCAATGCGTCCAAAGTTGTTCTGCTTTTTGTTCATTGATCACATCTGTTTTTCTGAATTCTCTAGTCAATTCCATTAATAAAAAATTCTGATGTTAAGTCAAAATTTGGTCATTGAGGTCCAGAAAAACCTTATTTTTAGCAGTCTGATAAGTGGAAAAACATTTTTTCGTCGAGTCTGAAAAATTAGAAAACCGGAAAACTTGGAGAATCAAGAATTTAGGATTTTCAGAGTTAGTTTTTTTTTTGTTGGAATTTCCGATTTCTAAATTTTCCGAAAGATGGAATTTTAGAAAGTTTTTTTTTTAATGGAATGTCAGAAACTTCAGGTTTTCGAAAATTCAAACCAAAATTTTTTGAACCCAGAAAAATTTCAGAATTTAAAGATTTTTGAGTTAGTCAGCTTATCTTCTGTTTCAAATGGATAGACCAGACTTTTCTTTACGCTTGAAATGTTTGAAACATATTTAATGAGCTCTTTGGTTCCTTGTTTTTTATCGTAGCTTTGGTTTTTGGATATTCAGACTTTTCACATCTTTCAAATGTTGAAAATTCCCCAAAAAACTAGGAAAGTGAGGAATGCAGACATTCTCAAATTCCAGAAATCTTAAAGAGGCACTCCGACCAAAAATTTTTATTGCATTAAAATGTGTTAAAATTTATTTGTTTTTCAAATATTATTGCGAAAAAATTCAAAGAAAATCCGAAATCCCCGGAAAACGCCGTGGAAAAGGAAAAAAATTGAAAAAAAGGTGCCGCCGGGGGACGAGGATTTTCAGTGAGAAACCTAGGCCACGGCACCTGACAGCCTTTTTTTCAAGTCGCCGACAGTGGTTTTTTACGTTTTTTACCTGCCGGACATGAAATTGAAAAAAATCCGGAAAATTTGCCACGTAGGAAAGGCGCCCGCTGCTGTGGCCTAAATTTCTCACTGAAAATCCTCGTCCCCCGGCGGCACCTTTTTTTGAATTTTCTTCCTTTTCAACGCCGTTTTTCGGGAATTTCGGATTTTTTTTTTGAATTGTTTCGCAATAATATTCGAAAAATAGATAACTTTCAACACATTTTAATGCAATAAAAATTTTTGGTCGGAGTGCCTCTTTAAGATTTCTGGAATTTGAGAATGTCTGCATTCCTCACTTTCCCAGTTTTTTGGGGAATTTTTAACATTTGAAAGATGTGAAAAGTCTGAATATTCAAAAACCAAAGCTATGATAAAAAACAAGGAACCAAAGAGCTCATTAAATATGTTTCGAACATTTCAAGCGTAAAGAAAAGTCTGGTCTATCCATTTGAAACAGAAGATAAGCTGACTAACTCAAAAATCGCTGTCTTGTTGTTCTGACTTGAAAAGAAAATGTGAAATTCGTCATTATTTGATTCAAAAAAATTCGAACGAAACAACATAATAATAAGGAAGTTAAACATTCGAAATTTTCTGAAAAAAAATGTGAAATTTGATTATCACCTTGGAAAAGGTGGACTAGAAAAAAGTTTGGACAGAGACTTTATTATAAAACTGAGAAATTCGGAAACTCGAGTAAATTGAAAAAATATTCAAAAAGTCAGAAATTCAAAAATTCGATTTCAAAAATGTGCACATTCTGGAATTTCTGAATTTCGAAATTTCAAAAAAAAATAGAAATCCAGAAAATTCTAGAAATCTCCAAAGTTCAAGATCTTCCTTATATATATATAGAACGCTAGACGCGTCTGTTCCTGTCACTCTGTCCGGTTTTGGGTTTTTAATGTTAGTTTGACTGCCACCGAAACATAACTCGGGACCTGAAGCGCCGGAGGCGCGGCAACCAGATTGCTGGTAAAAGATATGAGATTTCAGACAACTGGTAACGAGATAATTAAGCTGAAAAGTGAAAAATTTCTTGGCAGGTTTTTGAACTGAAAACTTGAAAAAGCAGGTATCTTCCAGAAATTGAAAATAAAAGGAATGTTCGAAAAATTGTGTGAATGCAAAGTTTTCAATCTAGGTCTGTTTTACACCTTCCAAAATGTTCCAAGTGGTTGGAAACTTGACAGACAAGCTCCCATACTTGCGACCGGGTCTTCGCGGGATCTGCCGTAGTTTTTTTAGAATCAATATTTTCGGACCAACTAATATAGATATGATAGAACTCAATGAGTACTACAAAGTTATATTATTTGGAAAATTGGGTGTGTCTTGCCTATAAACGAAGCTACAGACAAAAAACAGAGGCCCGGGCGGCCCGGTTTCACGCGACAAGGCACGGCCACTTTATGAATTCTAACTTTGTTCATAGACAAGACACAGTTTTCAAAATAGTATTATTTTGTAGAACTCGGCGAGTTCTATCACATCTAATCTAGTTAATTTGAAAACATTGATCCAAAAAGAAACTCTGGCCCGCGAAGGGCCAAAGGCGTGGTCGCTAGTATGCGAGCTCCAGACCCTGAAAATAGTCAAAATCAACAGATAATTACGTTTTTAATGAAAAATAAAAATTAGTGTACTGATTAGCAAGACTTTCTAAGATTTACAATTTCCAATTTTTGAGTTTTCAATGGATTTTCTCAAAATCCTTGATATTTTTTGGAATTTACAATTTTCGGAATTTCTGAAATTTTGAATTATCTGGAATCGTTCCTTATCTCGTTGTTTAGATGTTACCCTTCTACTTCTGGATATCGGAATTTTCTGTCAATTTCGAGCTTTTTTTATAAATTTCTTTTTTCCACATTTCTGAATTTCAAAATGCCTATTTCCTGGACACCTTTTTTTTTGCTTCTGAATTCAAAAAAAAAACAAGAGCAGCTGAAAAGGTGAAAATGAGCAATCAAGTGAGAAATCGTGTAATTGAATATTCTGTTCTACTCACTTTTTCCTTTTCTTCATTTCCCTGTTCCCTGAAAAAAACTATGATTTTTTTGATATCCAATTCTTCCACATTATTTTTCCCGATTTTTTTATTCAACTATCAAAATTCCATAAATTTATTTTCTCTAATTTTGGTAGTTATCGAATTAATTAGCTATTTTTCTG